TCAATAAAATAGAAAAAAGAGAACAATACAAAAAATTAATGAAAATAAAAGGGTTGGTTCTTTGAGAAAATCAACAAGATAGACAAGCCCTTATCCAAACTAACCAAAAGACAGAGAGAGAGCATCCAAATCAACAAAATCAGAAATGAAAAGGGGGACATAACAACAGACATTGTGGAAATCCAGAGAATCATCAGGTCATACTTCAAAAACCTCTACTCCACAAAACTGGAAAACCTAAAAGAAATGAGTAACTTTCTGGACAGGTACCACATACCTCAGTTAAATCAAGAACAGATAAACTATTTAAATAGTTCAATAACCCCTAACGAAATAGAAACAGTCATGAAAAGTCTCCCGACCAAAAAATGCCCAGGACCAGATGGTTTCAGCGCAGAATTCTACCAGATCTTCAAAGAAGAGTTAATACCAATACTCTCTAAATTGTTCCACACAATAGAAATAGAAGGAACATTACCAAACTCCTTCTATGAGGCTACAATTACCCTGATTCCTAAACAAAACAAGGATACAACAAAGAAAGACAACTACAGACCGATAAACCTCATGAACATTGATGCAAAAATACTCAATAAAATACTAGCAAACAGACTCCAAGAACACATCAAAACAATTATCCACCATGATCAAGTAGGCTTCATTCCAGGGATGCAAGGGTGGTTCAACATACGAAAGTCCATCCATGTAATACACCATATAAACAAACTCAAAGAAAAAAAACCACATCGTCATCTCACTAGATGCAGAAAAGGCATTTGACAAAATACAACACCCCTTCATGATAAAGGTCTTAGAGCGATCAGGAATACAGGGAACATACCTAAACATAATAAAGGCAATTTACAGCAAGCCAACAGCCAACATCAAATTAAATGGAGAGAAACTCAAAGCAATTCCACTAAAATCAGGAACGAGGCAAGGCTGTCCGCTCTCTCCATACTTATTCAATATAGTACTTGAAGTTCTAGCCAGAGCAATAAGACAACATAAGGAGATTAAGGGGATACAAATTGGAAAGGAAGAAGTCAAGCTTTCCCTATTTGCAGATGACATGATAGTATACTTGAGCGACCCCAAAGATTGCAGCAAGGAACTGATACAGCTTATAAACACCTTCAGCAACATAGCAGGATACAAGATCAACTCAAAAAAATCAGCAGCCCTCCTAAATACAATGGACAAAGAAGCTGAGAAGGAAATCAGAGATACATCACCCTTTACTATAGCCACAAATGACATAAAATACCTTGGGGTAGCACTAACCAAGCAAGTGAAGGACCTATATGACAAAAATTTTAAGTCCCTGAAAAAAGAAATTGAAGAAGATCTCAGAAAATGGAAAGATCTTCCATTCTCATGGATAGGCAGGACTAACATAGTAAAAATGGCAATCTTACCAAAAGCAATCTACAGATTCAATGCAATCCCCATCAAAATACCAACACAATTCTTCACAGATCTGGAAAGAATAATACTCAACTTCATATGGAAAAACAAAAAACCCAGGATAGCCAAAAGAATCCTGTACAATACTACAACCGCTGGAGGCATCACGATCCCTGACTTCAAGCTCTACTATCGAGCTACAGTAATCAAAAGAGCTTGGTACTGGCATAAAAACCGACATGTGGACCAATGGAATCGAATTGAAGACCCTGACATTAATCCACACACCTATGAACATATAATTTTTGACAAAGAAGCCAAAAGTGCACAATGGAAAAAAGAAAGCATCTTCAACAAATGGTGCTGGCAAAACTGGATATCAACATGTAGAAGGCTGCAAATAGATCCATATCTATCACCGTGCACAAAACTTAAGTCCAAGTGGATCAAGGACCTCAACATAAATCCAGCTTCTCTGAACCTGCTAGAAGAGAAATTAGGAAGTAGTCTTGAACGCACTGGCATAGGAGACCACTTCCTAAATAGAACACCAATAGCAAAGACACTGAGAGAAACAATCAATCAATGGGACCTCTTGAAACTGAGAAGCTTTTGTAGAGCAAAGGATACAATCAACAAGGCAAAGCAACAGCCTACAGAATGGGAAAAGGTCTTCACCAACCCCACATCTGACAGAGGACTGATATCCACAATATATAAGGAACTCAAGAAATTAGATATCAAAATGCCCAACAATCCAATTAAGAAATGGGCTATAGAACTAAACAGAGAATTCTCTACAGAGGAAACTCAAATGGCTGAAAGACATTTAAGGAATTGCTCAACATCCCTAATCATCAGGGAAATGCAAATCAAAACAACTCTGAGATACCACCTTATGCCTGTCAGAATGGCTCAGATCAAAAACACTGAAGACACATTATGCTGGAGAGGTTGTGGAGCTAGGGGAACTCTCCTCCACTGCTGGTGGCGATGCAAGCTTGTACAACCCCTTTGGAAGTCAATATGGAGCTTTCTTAGAAAATTGGGAATCCATCTCCACCAAGATCCAGCTATACCACTCTTGGGCATATACTAAAGGAATACTCAACCACACCACAAGAGCACTTGTTCAGCTATGTTCATATCAGCATTGTTTGTAATAGTCAGAACATGGAAACAACCTAGATGCCCTTCAACTGAAGAATGGATAAACAAAATGTGGTACATATACACAATGAAATACTACTCAGCAGAGAAAAACAATGACATCATGAGGTTTACAGACAAATGGATGGATCTAGAAAAAAATCATGGTGGGTGAGGTAACCCAGACTCAGAAAGACAAACATGGTATGTACTCACTCATAGGAGGATACTAGATGTGGAACAAGGATGACTGGACTGCTACTCACACCACCAGGGAGGCTACCTGGAAAACAGGACCCCAAGAAAGACACGAGGATTGCCCACTGATGGAGAAATGGAAGAGATCTACCTGAACAGCCTGGACATGAGTGGGGGTAATGAAGGGCAAGGGTCGAGGGAAAGAGAGCTTGGGGGAGTGGGAGATCCCAGCTGGATCAACAACAGAGAGGGAGAACAAGGAATAGGAGACCATGGTAAATGAAGACCACATGAGAATAGGAAGAAGCAAAGTGCTAGAGAGGTCCACAGAAATCCACAAAGATACTCCCACAACAGACTGTGGCAATGGTCGAGGGACAGCCCGAACTGACCTACTCTGGTGATGGGATGGCCAAACACCCTAATTGTCATGCTAGAAACCCCATCCAACGACTGAGGGATCTGGATGCTGATTTCCATGTCTAGGCCCTGGGTAGATCTCTGGGAGTCCAATTAGTGAGAATAAGAAGGGTTTATATGAGCGAGAATTGTTGAGACCAAGGTTGGATAAAGCACAACAAATAGCCAAACAAATGGAAACACATGAACTATGAACCAATGGCTGAGGGGTCAACAACTGGATCAGGCCCTCTGAATGGGTGATACAGTTGATTGCCTTGATCTGTTTGGGAGGCACCCAGGCAGTGGGACCAGGTCCTGTGCTCATTGCATGAGTTGGCTCTTTGAAACCTGGGACCTATGCAGAATCGCTTGGCTCTGCCTGGGAGGAGAGGACTGGACCTACCTGGATGGAGTCTACCAGCTTGATCTCAGTCTGTGGGGGAGGCTTCGCCCTGGAGGAGGTGGAAATGGGGGGTGTGCTGGGGGGAAGGTGATGGGGGCTAGAGGGGGGAGAACAAGGGAATCCGTGGCTGATATGTAGAACTGAATTGTATTGCAAAATAAAAATAAAAATTAAAAAAAACCTCAAAAAATAAAAGAAGTGTCACCTGTGTCTCATAAAGAGCACATGCCCTACCAGGCTGTGTGGTGCATGCCTTTAATCCAAGTTCTTGGGAGGCAGAGGCAGGCAGTTCTCTGAGTTTAAAGACAGCTAAGGATACACAGAGAAACCCTGTCTCAAAAAAGTAAAAGAGAGAGAAAGAGAGAGAATATCCTTGAAATCAAGATTTTAAAAGGCCTTGATTTTATTTCCCCATGAAAGAGAGACCACATATGTGTTTAAAAGAACCAAATTGTTCTGATATTGATGATAGATTGTTTAGCCATCCCGACTTTGAACTGCCTCAAAGATTGTGTGTTCTATCTTTTTACCCCCTGCTTTAGCAGAGAGAGGGTATCGGCCACTGTTGATATGTTAACCTAAATAAAGCTGGCAATTACCCCAGACTTGTTTTTACTGTCTGGTTAGTGCAAAAAGAGCCCAGCAATGGTCCAGCCAAGAGGTAGGTCCTCAGGAAAGAACACTGCCCGGGTTGCAGCAGATGAAAGCCAAGTGAGATGCCTGCTGCCCAGTGAAGAATAGACTGTTGCTGCCCCAACTTGAGACGTGGTGGCACTAGAGTGTCTCAGGACTGGGCGCAACAGTGAAGTGGTTTCACTCACTCTTCCCTAGGGTATTACAGTCCTGTGGATGAGAGTGAGTAGTGCCCGAGATGCACTTCACGCTTTCTGCCTCAAGGGGGACTGGAGCAGGCCTCTCCAACAGCAGCCACATGGAGGCCACAAGGCTGAAAAGCAAGGAAAGGGGACTGGGGTGCTCAGTGTCAGATTTCCTCCTCCTTGACCTGCCTGGAACCCCCAGGCAATTTCCCCTAGTTCTGGAATGGCTCATTTCCCTAACAACCCCAGCTCCCTTCTATTTCAAGCTAGTCTTGTGGTCATGACTTATTAAATAACCTGTATCATGCATTTCTCAAGCTTCCTTCCCCATAAGGATTAGAGAAGTCTTGTGTTACAAAGGATTTTGAATGCTCAATAGAGTTACCTCAGAGAAACAGGACAGGAAGTCAGTGTTTGACCTGGCTACAGTGTAGGACAGTGTCACAGTTAGCATGTGAGTGTTACTTTTACATCTTGGCAGTTGTGTGTAGCAAACACTTGGAAGACAAGGGATTTGTAACCTAGATCAGCAAAAATGGTGGCTCTCAGGAACAGGACTTGAGGACCCTGGAGTCTGAGAACAGAACAGTAAACCACACCACCATGTTTCAGAGCAGGATCTGGGAAGCCAGCGGGCTGAGGCCTTTGTGAGGGCCTTCCTGAAGCAGAGCATACCTCACTGGAGCCAGCAAGACTGTGAGAGCCATCTGCAACGCAAGGCTGTGGTCTTGGAATACTTGTCAGAAGCCAAAGCAGCAGCAGAAGAAATACAAAGGCCTCACTGCCAAACAGAGGAGAGACATGAGGCTCTTTGACATTAACCCAGAGCAACAGAGGTACGCCCATCTTTCCTAAAGGCCTTGCCACTCATCATTGCCTGGTCTTTCTGGTCAGGGTGTAGACTGGTGATTCCAGGGACTCACTAGGCAGCTCTGTCCCCTTAGTCTCAGGAGCTTCTCTGCCTTTTGTCACAGGAGGCAGCCTCCCCCTACCAATTTTTTTATGTCTTGGCTTGGCTTCTAAAAGTCAGGCATTGGTGAGCCAGAGAACTTACATCATTTAGTGTCTCTCCTAGGCTCACTAATAAGTGAGTCTGTTACCCATAGCCACAGACTCTCTTGGCTTTCTAGAAAAGAGGAACTGATATTCCTTAATATGGACTTTCGTATAGCTTTTAATATCCCTAGAAAGAATCACCCACTCAAAGGTTACTGCCAAGGAGAGGTACTGCCTATACATGTCTGAAGTTTCTGAAAGGAATGTATCACTTTCTTGTGGGAGGATGTCTCCTTTAAAGCAGTTCTGAGTTTGTGTGTACAGCCACTATTTATAGGCTTTGTATAACACTCTATTGCCACATAGCCTTCCACGCCCCAGAAGGCATGAGAGTGTCACTTTATTCTGGGACTGTCTTCATGGGGTTCTTTGAAGTTCTTGTTTCAGGTTTGAGCCTGGTGTTCTTGACTCTCTGACCCTGGCTTTGTGTGAAAGGGCACCAAGACAAATGGTAATAGTCCCAGGGAAAATCTTCTGGTCCTCTCCCTTCACTTTCTGGACAATCCCACTACTTTACACAAGGACCTTCTTTGCAAGTCTGCACCTTAACCTCCTATATCAGTGGGTTAAACAAGGTTGATGTTAATTTTGTTTCTTGTTGGGAGAATTCCTGCAGGGCTGCAGCTTGTTTATTTCCTGAGTGTTAGCACCTAGCTTTGATCTGCTTTTTGTGATTGCTACATCTTGTTTCCATTACCTCCTGTTTGAAGAATTATCTGAGTGTTTGCTAGGAGTTCAAAACCTATAAAAACTTGGTTTAGGGACAATCCAGAAAACTGTGGTTTTCCTTTACTGAGAATTTGCAATTGGCATAGTCCCTTTGGAGAGGCTTAGATAAGACGTTTTGGTATATGGAACTGACTTCCTAAAGGTGTTAATTGTACAACAATAAAAGGGCCCTTTGCTTATCTATAATGTTTCAGTCTGGAGAGACAGACCCCCTATGAAGGTGGAAAAGTCTAAAATCATACTTAGAATGCTCTGTGCCTTCTTTCCATGGACCCCTGTGAACACACAGCAAATATACAACGTTTTGGTGCGACATTGTCATGGTGCTTGAAGAAGGACAGAGGATCCTGACACTTTTAAGAAGTGGAAGAAGTTCACTCTCTGGGTAAGATGACTCCAGGATTGGCAGGGTCATGGGGAATTTAAACTCCCCATCTCAGGAGCACAAAATGTACAATTGCTAAAATGCTTGTTAAATGGAAAAGCAGTAACTGTACAATTTTTAAAGATAGAAACAAAATGGCTCCTGAGACAAAGAATAAATCAAGGAAAAAGGCCCATCTCAATAGAGAAAAGGGAAGGAAAGGAAATTAAAGGAAATCCCTGCATAGTAAAGGGAGAAATACTTAATCAAAAAACAAAAAACAAAAAACAAAAATGATTTTCTGGTAAAAAGGGGAAAATTATCAAATCAAGGACTAAAAATTAAAAGTCACTGTGAACAAAAAATAAGGGAAAGAAAAAAAGCCTCTTCCCAGTAAAAATAGGAAGAAAAAAGTCTCTTTTTGATATAAGAATTTGAGGATAGTTGTAACTTAGAGCTCTCCCTGCCTGTCAGCTCTTTCACAGACCTGCAGATCGGCAAAAAGAGGGGGCATCTGAATTACAAAGAATGAGTGGCAGGGCCTCACTGCTGCAACCTGAGCAAGCACAGCAGGCTCAGAGCTGAGAGTTTTCCTGTCTGTGGGCTTAACTTTGGTTTAAATGATTCTTGTTTTTTTTTCATCACAGCAGGAATAACTCAATATTAAAGATCCCTTCCTGGGAAATATTTTTTATCTTTCCTTATAGTTGGAATAAATCATTATCAATGGTCCCTTCATGAGAGAAAGAAAAAAATTTAAACAAGCCCAACTTCTAGTAAAAAACAAGTATAGTCAGGGCATAAAGTACTAAGTCAATGCTGTTTGAATATCCAGAGATATTAGTCATTCATTGTGTAAAGGATGTTCTCTTCTCTTGATTGTCTAATCATAATGTTTAATTTTTTATACTAAATGAATTGGAAGAACAACATTCATGACTTTAAACTATAGTATTGTGTTTGCTCTTCTCTGTTGGTCATTTACTGAAGATCTGGCTCCAGTCTTTTAAGTTGCCTTCTAGAAATTCTTGGTTAAATTGCATAAAAATGTAACACTTGAAACAGATTGGGTGGTTAGCTTATTAGATACTATGGTTACTAAGGTAAAAGCTCATAAAAATGATCTCTTACTGATAAGGAGCTTACAAAAATTATTTTTCCACTAAGTAAAATATAGGTAAATTGTTTGACCCACACTGTTAATAATTGGCAAGTTACATTAACATGTTACTTAAGATCTGTAAAAAAGTATCCTCCTGTTAAAATTTTATAAAAATATTCCATAGTATTACTTAAAGTTACCTCTTAAAGTCCTATAGATATTGTTTTCAATGCTTTTATAGATGACATATGTAAAAAAGGACTATGCAAATAAATGCTGGTGGTAAAGTTGCTCAACTGTTATTACTTCCACATTTTAAATGTAAAGCAACTCCAATTGTAAGACAGGAGATTTAAAAAATACTGAAAAAAAAAGCCGGGTGGTGATGGTACACACCTTTAATCCCAGCACTCGGGAGGCAGAGCCACGCAGATCTCTGTGAGTTTGAGGCCAGCCTGGTCTACAGAGCGAGATCCAGGACAGACACCAAAGCTACACAGAGAAACCTTGTCTATAAATAAATAAATAAGTACTGAAAAAAATGTTTTGGCAAACTATTATTAATGATAAGAGGCCAAAGCTAAAATTACAAGTAAATGATATTCAAATTTCAGGCCTAAAAAACACTAAAGCTGATATATCTGTAAATTTTCAAAAATCTTAAAATCCCACTTGGCCTTTACAAGAAGTCTCCACTCAATTTGTAGTCAATGGAACCTTATCTCAGGTAAAAACAGAATGTAGAATGGATTAAATATATATGGACTGAAGGACAAATAGGTATGTTAAAGCCTTGTGTAGCTGATATCGCTGTGAATTTTTGGGAGAGAAATTTGTTACAACAATGGGGAACTCAAATTAATGTTCTTACAATTTCAGAAACAGCTCAGAAAATGATGTTAAAAATGGAGTAAATTCCTAGAAAAGGTATTGGAAAAAACTGTTGAGGAAAATAAGAGGATATACAGCAGGATATCCTCTTTGTTTTGTTCAACAGCAGGATAAAATAGGAATTGCCTATTCAAATTTGGAGTAGGAGCCGCTGCTGGTAATCTAACTAGTTAAAAGGGCTAACTAATAAGCCTACATGGGTGGGGCAGTGGCCCTTAACTAAAGAAAAGTTACAGGCACTTGAACAAAAGTAGTAAAAGAACAGTTAGATGCTAAGCACATAGAGGAAACTACTAGTCCTTGGAATTTTCCTGTTTGTAATAAAAAAGGAATCTGGAAAATGGAGATTATTAATTGACTTAAAAGTGATTAATAAGGTGATTCCACCTATGAGATCTTTATAGTCTGGAATACCTTTATATTCCTTATTATCTAAGGATTGGGCTATTATAGTTATTGATTCACAAGATTGCTTCTTTATTATTCCTTTACAAGAACAGGATAGAGAAAAATTTGCTTTTCCAATTTCTACTAATAACAATGCTCAACCAGTAAAATGATGTCATTGGAATGTCCTTCCCCAAGGAATGTTAAATAGCCCAATTTTACGTCAATATTTTGTACATCAACCACTACAAATCATTTGTAAACAATTTCTTCAATCTATTATCATTATATGGATGATATTTTATTGGCTGCTTCTGATACAGATACATTAGAAAAAATGTTTAATGTGGTACAGAAAATTTTACCCTGTTGGGGACTACAAATTTCTCCTGAAAAAAAAAAATGCAAAGAGGAGATTCTTTTAGTTATTTAGGATTTAAATTAAGTAAACAGAGAATTCAGCTGCAAAAAGTCCAGATTTGGAGAGATCCAATGCACACTCTTAATGATTTTCAAAAAATATTGGGTGATATTAATTGGTTACCTGTTGTATGATATTTTGTTTGTGTTCTGACAAATAAAGCTATCCTGGAGATCAGAGGGTAGAGCTAGCCACTAATTAACCATAAAGGCAAGGCAGTGGTGGCACACCCCTTTAATTCTAGCATGTGGGATGAGGAAGCAGAAAGATAAGGAATTCAAGGCCACCCTGGGCTATACAAGATTGAACCAGTATAAAAGAGAAACAGAGCTAGGTAGTGGTGGCTCACACCTTTAAGCCCAGCACATGGGAGTCTCACACCTTTAATCCCAGCAGTAAGAAGGATCATGCCTTTGATCCCAGCACATGGGAGGTGGGGACAGGAATATAAGGTGGTGGGTGGAGACAGGATCTACCCACCCATTCAGTCTAAGGATTCATAGAGATGGGATATCCCTCATTCAGTCTGAGATTTTGTAGAGGCTTTGAGAAGTCTTTCTAGTGGTTGCCTGCTCTGCTGATCTTTCAGCTTTCACCCTTGACATCTGACTCAAGGTTTTTATTATTAAGGTTAATTAGGATCACACTTCAGTTACATCCTACCATTGGATTGTGTACTCAAGAATTAAATAATTTGCTTCAAATTTTGCAAGGTGACTCAGATTTAAACAGTTCAAAGCAATTAACAGCTGAGGCTTAAAGTGAATTAGCCTAAGTTGAACAAAAATTACAAAATGCCTATATGTGGATCGATTAGATCTCATAACTAAATGTATTTTAGTAATCATTCCCCTACTGAATTCATTTTGCAGAGGGAGGATAATATTTTGGAATGGATTTTCCTAGCTCACCAACAGAGGAAAATGTTAACGACCTATACAGTAAAAGGTTCTGATTTAGTCATAAAGGGAAGAATAAGACTTTGTCAATTGTTAGGAATGGATCCAGCTGAGATTGTAGTACCCTATACTAATGCTGAAATTGTGCAATTATGGATGATTAATGATGATTGGCAAAGAGCTTTTAGTAATTTCCTAGGAGAACTTAACAACAAATATCCAAAAGTGAGTGACTTCAATTTATAAAAAGAACTGAATGGATTATTCTCTACATAGTGAAAAGAACATCTATTTGTGGGGCTCTTACATTTTATACAGCTGTGAGTAAATTAAGAGTAGCTGGTTATATATGATCATCTCACTGGAGGCAGAAAAGGCATTTGACAAAATCCAACACCCCTTCATGATAAAGGTATTAGAGTGATGAGGAATACAGGGAACATACCTAAACATAATAAAGGCAATTTACAGCAAGCCAACAGCCAACATCAAATTAAATGGAGAGAAACTGAAAGCAATTCCACTAAAATCAGGAACGAGGCAAGGCTGTCCACTCTCCCCATACTTATTCAATATAGTACTTGAAGTTCTAGCCAGAGCAATAAGACAACATAAGGAGATTAAGGGGATACAAATTGGAAAGGAAGAAGTCAAGCTTTCCCTATTTGCAGATGACATGATAGCATACTTGAGCGACCCCAAAGATTCCAGCAAGGAACTGATACAGCTTATAAACACCTTCAGCAACATAGCAGGATACAAGATCAACTCAAAAAAATCAGTAGCCCTCCTATATACAATGGACAAAGAAGTGGAGAAGGAAATCAGAGATACATCACCCTTTACTATAGCCACAAATGACATAAAATACCTTGGGGTAACACTAACCAAGCAAGTGAAGGACCTATATGACAAGAACTTTAAGTCCCTGAAAAAAGAAATTGAAGAAGATGTCAGAAAATAGAAAGATCTCCCATGCTCATGGATAGGCAGAACTAACATAGTAAAAATGGCAATCTTACCAAAAGCAATCTACAGATTCAATGCAATCCCCATCAAAATACCAACACAATCCTTCACAGACCTGGAAAGAATAATACTCAACTTCATATGGAAAAACAAAAAACCCAGGATAGCAAAAGGAATCCTGTACAATAACACAACTTCTGGAGGCATCACGATCCCTGACTTCAAGCTCTACTATCGAGCTACAGTAATCAAAAGAGCTTGGTACTGGCATAAAAACCGACATGTGGACCAATGGAATCGAATTGAAGACCCTGACATTAATCCACACACCTATGAACATATAATTTTTGAC